AGAGAAAGGAAAACTTGAAATCGCATCATATGACCCCTTTAAGGTGCTGCTGCTGCTTCCCTGTTAAAATAAAGGTCAAAACTGTTCCATCTCGTCTGAGCCGCATAATAGTGACATTTGTGATGTCTCTTTCTGTGATGGAATTAAAAGAACCTCATCATGAATGTGTGTCAGTAGAAACATTAGCCACAGGAGTGTCTGAATCACTGTGGAAACTGCAGAAGTGTCCTGGGCTCCTAATGGATCATATGCACATGGAACGCCATGCTAGAGTCAAGTGAAATGCATTAACAACCAAAACATTACTTTTCTACTGACCTAATTAAAGGAATACGTTATGCAAAAATGAAAATAAAGTCTTCATTTACCCACTCGCAACGCTCCAAACCTGTATGACTTCCTTTCTTCCATGGAACACTTTAGGAATAATGCACTGGTCGCTCTTTTCCATGGACTGAATGAAGTCTGTATTCATTTTTGAGACCACTTTTAATAATAGTATCCTTTTTTTCCCCCACACATTTAGATTTTAGAGCTCAACCGCTCCAGTAGTCATTTACTTTTTAAAGGGGTCATATGATGCGATTTCAAGTTTTCCTTTCTCTTTGGAGTGTTACAAGCTGTTCGTGAATAGATAAGATCCCTAAAGTCTCAAACCCAAAGAGATATTCTTTATAAAAGTTAAGTCCATGCCCTCCTAAAACGTCTCGTTCTAACACACCCCCACATGTCTACGTCACGATGTGGGAAGATTTGCATAACGCCGCCCAAATGTTCACGCATAGAAAGAAGGAGTAACTTTATTGTTGCTGCCACGTACCGCCGCCGCCATGTTGTGAAGACCCTGTGTGTTTCGTTGCGAAAGCGAAACTACTTTGTTTGGTCTTCCAAAAGAGGACAAGACTAGAAATCAGTGGTTAAGTTGTATTTACAACACTGTTCCAGAACGAATGTTTTCGTGAAAGTGGAATATGCAATTTAGCTGTGATTTTGGGAGGTCTTGGCTAATACGAGCAATTAGAGACCATTAACTGTCTGTTTTTCCTGTTTTTTTTTTTTCATCTTAAATATGACAGAGTGTCCAGACACAGAAAAACTCCTGGTGAAGCAACTGGGATCCACGTGACACACTATTATAAAGATGGCGTTTATTAAAGAGGAGAGTGAAGATGTGAAGATTGAAGAAACATTTAGAGTGAAGCAAGAAAATACTGAGGAACAAACAGGTTGGTTTTCATTTTCAAAGCTGAACTCTATGATATTTTTTAAGAATGTAATATGTGTGTCCTAATTAAAGTGCTTTTATTTGACGTGGAGCAGGTTGCCTCATGTGTGCAAACTTGTTGAAATTAAAAGACCAACTAAATACTAATGCTGCCTTTAAGTGCACCTGAGAAGCTCCCTGCTAGCAAGTTGTGATATGTCATAATAAAGGCCCATTCAATTCGGAAAAATAAAATGGAAAAGTAGCCTAAACAATTATTTTGTGAAAAATTAAACCCAAGATGTATTTCTGAAATGAAAATGAGGAAAACCTTCCATTTTGTATCACTTAATTATGCAACAGTATAAAAAAATATATATATATTTTACCTAGGCATACCCAGGGGTGTAAATTTCGTCTAACAGTAGGGGGGCGGGGCAATAAACATAAAATTTCTCAAGAGCAATTTTTGAAGGGGACACAAATAATACAGCTAAAATTGTACTTGTAAGGATATGTATGCACTAGGGATGTAACGATTCACTCAACTCTTTGATTCACGATTCGATTTGATTCACAATTTTTTTTTTACAAAATGAGATTTAAGACAAATTATAAATTAAATGTGTCCTTTTATTATTGCTTGGACAAAATGCTGCACATTTCTTTGTGAAATTGAAATATAATACTATAATAATATACTAATATAGCACTTGCATATTATTGCTCTTTTGTTGGTTTTGACTGAAAAGCGTCTGCTAAATAACAAAATTTAAATATAGGCTAATGTAAATGTATATAACAAAACTAAATTGACATTTTAAAATAAGCCCCAAAGCAAATAAGTAACACAAATATAAAATAATCTCTTCATATAAACAAAATAAGGCTTTGTCTGTGCTCTTTCCATTTAAAATGAGAGGCAACCACTGCATTTTAATCATGATCCAAACAATGATGCTGAGTTTTTAAACATGAACAGTTTTTTATCTAAATTAGGTTGTATAATTTCGAAATTTGAAGCAAAAACAAAATGATTTGACTTCAGTTTTGTGAAACTATACATAAAAAATATCTGCATGAAAGCTGAGCTGAACGAGACGCAGATTCACTCTGCCAGCAGGTGGCGCTTTAAGCGTTTCCTTGGTTTCCGCTGTAAACAAAGCAGTGCTGCACTTACGAACTTTAATATGCATTATACAGAGGCAAGATGAAAAGAAAAAAATACCATCTAAACTTTTCTAAAGACAGTAAGTTCCCCTCAGACATACATTCATATAAACTCCTACCCCTAAGTGAATCGTGATTTGTTTAGCATCTCAACCGATTTGAATCGTCACATATTTGAATCGATTTTCAACCAGCTCGTGGTTAATCGTTACATCCCTAGTATGCACAGAGGAAAGCCTTGCTACTATTAGTGTAACAGGGAGACCGTGCCAAATTAGACTACTTCAAGCTGTTGTGGTCGCGCCGCGACAGCGCTCGTGTCCGTTGTAGACGTTAACAGTGTTGGAAAGTCCGCGGTTTTCCTGTGGAAATGGGCTACTTTATAACTTTTTCATGATTTTTACCGGGGGACCCCCTCGAAGCGCGGATAGTTTCGGGCTAGTTTTTAGTAGCAATTGGGTGGGTTTTGTTGTGAAAACCTGGCAACCCTTTCCGTCAAGCAAGTAATGTTATTTTTGCTAACATAGCGACTCATTGAAAAATACATTGGCATCATCTGTATTAAAGAGAAAATAATCACTTCATCCGATGTTTAAGTGAGTAAAATAGCCTTGACAGCCTTACTTACTGGAGTTCCACAACTATTGACTTTGTTCTCTCTCACCGGACTCGTGTGTGTAGGTGATGTAAAAGAGGAAAGCAGGCATTTGGACTAAAGCACTGTGAGGCAAGGGAGGGGAGACTCAAAAATGTTTCTTAACTTAAAATGCATTTTTGCCCCGTTTGTGTTGTTTTACTTCTTACACAATTATTTAAAGTATAAAACATTGTTATTTACAATACACAGCGTAGTTTTTAATCATATTTTGAGGGGGGACAACCCTCAGATGGGGGGGGGTCCTGTCCCCCCCCCCGGGATTTCCGCCTATGGGCATACCGTAAGTGATCAAGGCAAAACTTTTTTGGTAATCCTCAAAAGCACGCGCTGTGTCAAACAAGTGTCAGTTTTTTTTTTTTTTTTAATTCGATATGATTTTTTTTACACAATTATTTTTAAGACAAATTACAAATGGAAAGGTGTCCTTTTATTATTTCTAAGAGAAAATGTTACGCATTTCTTAGTGAAATTGAAATATCACAAATAACAAAAAACTCAATTGAAATTTTTAAAACAAATCAAACAAATGAAGTTAAGTTTTCCAAATGTATTTATATTGTCTGTGGAAGGCATAGGACCATAAAATATTCGTCTAGTTATATCCCTTGGTCCGAGGGCCACGATAGGTGTCGTAACAGCCTGTCAAAGTATGTTTTTGCATACCTTCGCGCACCCTGTTTGGGCATACGTGATATGTTATCAGCGCATTTCATCACGCTATTGCAGACACAGAGAGAGTGGAAGGCGCTATTATTGTAATATTATGTGCTTTGTACTGTAATGTTTCCTCAGCAGTGAATGAGATTTGAGTTAATCTGATAGTGTAGCATTCAACCTTCCACCAACGCCATCTATGCACGTTTGTGTTTTGGAGGAGGCGTGGCTTTGGAGAGTGATTTGCAGGGAGGGTGGGTTCTTATGCTTTCAAAAACACTGACACAATGAGCAAGTAACAATAATATTCTCAATAACATATCGGTTTACTAAATAATTAAGTAAATATAATTCCTTAATTTACCTTTGTAAAGAAACCTCATTCTCTGCTGTCTCAGATGACATCTTTGTCCTCTGTTGGCCACCGTAGCTTCTCTATGTGCAATTCACAACTTCGCCGCTAAAATGTACACACTGCACCTCTACATAATTAAGAACCATTTTTTTGCTCATCCAAAACATGTCCCGATCTGTGATTCAAAATTAGTGGTGGCTATCAAAATCAGAAGAATGCCTGCCAGAAGGGCTACCAGGGATTTTGAAATTTTCCAAGCCTTGGACATTTATTGTGGACATGGCTATACAAATAAATATTGACTTGAATGAACCAAGTGAAAGATGACTTCACTATTAAGGCCCATTCACATCAAGCATGATAACGATAAAGATATAGTTCTAAAAATTATTCTCAATATTAAAGAATAGCAGAGTCCACACCACAGCTATAACGATAAAGGCACAGAGAAACAATATAGTTGGAATCACTTTCAGAACGATTTTTTTCAGCTGATGAACAATAAAAACATTGACAGCCAATCAGAATCCATCCTGCTATAACGAGCTCGAGAATTTAGAGCAGCAGACAAGCATGTGCTTACAGACGATATCATTCGCTGGTGTGGACACTAATATTGTTATCTTTATAGTTATCTTTAAAGTTATCGTTCTTGGTGTGAACAAGGAAGTAGTGATGGGAAGTTCGGATCATTTTACCGACTCGGACCTTTGAGTCTCGTTCAGCATAATGAACGAATCTTTTTTCGAGTCAATTCATTCATTTCGTTCATTTTAGCAAAATATATACGCTTTAACCAATGCCGTCTGAGCCGGAAAGAGAATTGATTAGTATCTCTCGAGTCTTTCGAATCGTTTGTTCTTTTGTCACATGATGTGACAGCATTGGATAGAGAAATTAGTTAATTTACAAGCTTCCTTACAAACGGGTGCATAGTTATTATTATTATTATTATTATCATCATTATTATTATAATTATTATTTACTCTTACAGTTACGTGATGCGTTTCTGGTCTCAAATTAAGTGAAAGTGAAAGTGACGTGACATGTGGCCAAGTATGGTGACCCATACTTGGAATTAGTGCTCTGCATTTTAACCCATCCAAAGTGCACACACACAGCAGTGAACACACACACACCGTGAACACACACTCAGAGCAGTGGGCAGCCATTTATGCTGCGGCGCCCGGGGAGCAGTTGGGGGTTCGGTGCCTTGCTCAAGGGCACCTCAGTCGTGGTATTGAAGGTGGGAGAGAGCGCTAAAATTGCGCGCTCTCTTTAGATTGTACACTAAAATTGTAGCGTTTTACTTCTTACAGTTTATAAATGTGTGAATTTCTGTCATTATGGTTCTTTTCCATAACACTCTGAATGTTGTAACAAAGGTAATAAAGAGTTGGTTATTATTATTAAGTCTCTTTCCGGCTCAGACTGCATAGGCTAAGCTTATGGGGCTGTCACGTGATGAACGAACGACTCGAAAAACCCGAAGACTCGAGATGAACTAATCAATTCTCTTTCCGGCTCAGACTGCATAGGGTAAGCTTATGGGGCTGTCACGTGATGAACGAACGACTCGAAAAACCCGAAGACTC